ATGGGCTCGACGTCAGGTTCGATCACGATGGATTTCATTGATCACAGCGGATCCAACTTTTTGGCATTTTCTCGCCTAAAATTGCATCGGGTATCTAGCGATGCACACCCATCTTCATGAACTGCCCTAAGACTTCCCCGAACAGCTAAAAACTTGCTTAACACGGAAATGTTGCAAAACAAAATAAGTGGATGTACACGAGAATAACCAAAACTATATTTTCCTAACAGGTTTGGAATTATTCGATAACGAGGATGTCGACAACAATCTCTCATAAGAATCATATTCTTTTCTTCGCAGCTCAAGGATCTTTGACGTTCTTAGAAGCTTTACTGCGACGTCACGAAATTATCCTATATGTATCTCATCCTCAGTAGCGTGATTGATGGTTTAGAAATCCTATGAGAATTGTACGAGGATGAAAATAGAAACAGTGCTCTTTTGATTGAGGTTAACTTATGTCTGAATATAAATGTTAGAATTAGATTCGAAATTTCGTTGGAGTACTTCTACGTGAAGCAAAATTGGGAACGTTAAGATTTCCAAGGGCAACATAATCAAACTACAAAGAAATAGAAAGGATTTAGAGAGGAACATCAAATAAAACACTCCAAAACAGACATGAGGCAACCATTTCCATGACGCAGACTGTTGCTACATTTGAAACAAAGTGCCATTAGCTTGTTCTGTGTTCTTTTGACGAAACTCAATAAAATACGGAATTCCGCGAAGAATCAGAAGCATTTAATCCAATCGTAGCATTTGGCTTCTGTTATTATGGCCTGCATGCATCTTTAAAGCTTCTTCCAGGTTTCCATCTTTCTCCTAGTGAACTTGACGTTATCTGCGCCCTCCGGAGATCTCGTAGTGAATCTTCCTGCGCTGAACTTCACACCGACATTCAAGAGTTACTCAGGTTATTTGCAAGCCTCCAGTACCGACAATTTCCATTATTGGTGAGTTGGAGGAAGAACAGTTTCTTCTTTTGCAATTTTGATATATGATCGCCTGTGGGATATATTGGAAACATCCTATTGAACTATAAAAGTTATATCACTTATCAAGGCTACTGGTTTTAACCTCAGAAAAAATTCCGCTTAGGTTGACAGAATCACAGGGTGACCCGTCAAGTGACCCGCTCATTTTGTGGTTGAATGGAGGACCAGGTTGCTCTTCTTTAGCAGGTTGAAGACTGCCCTTGAACAAGGCGAGATTATGAAATGTGTTGAAAGAACTCAAAAAGCTTTTAGGCCTCATCGAAGAACTTGGGCCGTTCAAAGTGAGTGACTATGGAGCTAATGTGTACGCTAATGAGTACTCATGGAATTTGGTATCACTCACTTGTGACCTGTTGTTAATGAAGAGTTTCGTGTAATTTTTTTCTAGTTTGCTAATGTGCTGTTCATCGAGTCACCATCTGGAGTGGGGTTTTCATACAATACGAAGGGTAACGTAACCACGAATGATGACGATGTTGCACAACACAACTATCAAGCCTTTGTGAGTTACTTCAACATTTCTGCAAAAAAATATCCTACGTCATTTAGGTGGATTTTTTGGAAAAATTCCCTGAATATCATGGAAGAGCAACATTCATCACTGGAGAATCTTATGCTGGTGTTTACCTTCCAACACTTGCGGACAAAATGATCAGCGATTCTACGAATTTCCCTAATTTCAAGGTTATTGATTCTTAGAATTTAGCTATATTGAACAAACAATGTTCTATCATACGTGAGTAATGATTTCAGGGTATGGCTATTGGAAATGGAGCATTAGATTTCTTGCACAATTACGACACTATGGTTCCTTTGTACTACTATCATGGACTCATTAGAGACGAGTATGCATTCCTTCTATCTATATCTTGACCGCATAATTTTGTTAAAATCTTATCTCTTTGCAGGTTATACAGGAATTTTTCCTCCACATGCTGTAACAATAATATCGAAAGCTGTAATGTTTTGTCAGCCTATAACAATCCCGTCTGCACATCTCTCGTAAAAGAGGTACGTAACACAGTCTTATTTTTCACCTACAAGGTACCCGACCAGAGGAAAAGCCAGCATAGCATTGCTTCTGCAAGTATACCACATTAAATGGAGTCAGCAATGTAACATAGTAACAAAAACGTGTAACTCCTACAAGATGAAAATTGTCCCGAAATACGCACAAACGTATGATGCAAGATGCGACGATGCCATAATTTCTTTCGTCGCAACTACTCCATAGCCTGCCTCACAACTGGTAAAACACTTTTACTAGACCTTTGTTCCTACATTGCTGTGAGGTAAGATGTGGTAGCAATTTCTTTCGACTCACTTTAAAAGAAATCACTGGTTTTTTTTCAGTAGATCATTGCTATCGGTTAAAAGTCCCTCGCTATAGACAAAACATCCGAAAATTTTCTCTAATTGAACGAATATCGAATAGGGAAATATTCGAACAAATGAATAATATTCAGATCCCCAATTTTGAAATATATTCAGATTTGTATTTTCGAGTGAATATTGGTTTAACAATTGCTATTTAAGATTTGGATACTTGATTAATACTCAACTATTCGATTGATGAATAAGTGGACATGATTATCCGGATAGTGGAACATTCGATTAGGCGAAATTGTCAAATATCCTATTTAAACACGAGCATTCGCTAACTACTCTTCTCACTCACATCGGCCGTATTGTCCCATTAGTATTCTTCGTATGCTGTGAGGTATGTGCACGAAGCACACGTACTTAAGGTGGAGGCGTTATAGCAAAAAAAATTTCAAAGCTCCACAATATTTCACAACACATCAGTGCCAGGAATCAATCTTTAGCTAGAATCACACTTCGCTTTCCAAAAAATAGTCGAAGTACACATATCCTTAATAAAACCCTAATGATCCTTGGTTGTGTTTGAGTATTACAAAACCCGTCCTCACATGTATGAGGTTAAATGCATGTACCTTCTTTGGAGACATTTAATAATTATTTGAATTAAATAGTTTACTTTCTTCGTCATCTCTATGTTTGATAACGAAAATTAGAAGTTAGTGCAAATCTTTTCAAACTCATTGTTGGT